TGTGTGAGGAGGGTGGTATCAGGAGAAAACTTACATTTACTCTTACTCCTTAGCAAATGGTGTTGATGATAATCCACTTAATCCCAGCCACTCAACCTTATTAAAATTCAATGACTTAAATTAATTCAATTTAATGAAGGACAATTTAATAATTACATATTTATTTTTTAATTATAAAATGAATAAAAAAATTCTGCCAGCGTCCCATCTCCGTCTCCCATGCGCCACCCAGTCACAACGTCCCATCCTCGTCGCTTGCGTCGGCCAATCAAGTTTCCCGGCGGCAGTTCTATCCCTTGCCTTTTCTAGGGAACATGCTTCCTTTCTTGGGAATTTTCCCAGCAGGAGAGAGATGATTTTTTCGTCATCGGTGAATTTTTCAGCGGCGGCGGAGAGAATTTTCGGCAAACATCGTTTGTTTTGTCAGTTTTTCGGACAATTTTGTAATGTTTGTAACTATATTTTGTAATTTTGTATCAATTCGGTTTGTATCTTTTATTATTCTAGTTTGTTATTTTTATCTATTATGTTTGTAATGTTTATATGACAAATTTGTAATGTTTGTTTTTCTAGTTTGTATACTTTATGTTATGATTTGTATACTTTGTATTCATTTATTTGTAATACAAGTTCAGTGATTTGTATCATAAGTAGTGACATTTTGTACTGTCTGTTAGTGTGTTTTGCAATGTTTGTCGATTTCTTTTGTAAATTTTGTTATTTTTGTAATGTTTGTAGGGTTCTTTTGTAATGTTTGTAAGCTTTTTTATTTTTTGTCCAACATGTTTGTCATTTTTGTCAACAATGTTTGTAATATTTTTATGTCTAAAAACAATCTAATTGGCTTTGTAATGTTTGTTTGTCTAGTTTGTAAAGGTTGACATTATAATTTGTAATGATTATCAATCTGCTTTATAATATTTATAGGGTTGATTTGTAAACATCATAATTTGTAATGAAAAGATAGTGACAAAGTACCCGAAGTATACTAAGAGTACAAAATATGAGTACTAACAATACAAAGCAGCATGACTTGCATCACAAATCAATACATAAAAGTATACAAATTAATATTACAAAACATACAAACTATACTGACATTATGTACAAAAATACTAATAATACAAACTGACAACACTATCATTACAAATAATTGTTCTCCCCTCAAACGTCAAAATACAGTGATCCATCGCCTTCGACTCTCTCTCCACTGCCGCTGCCGAAGCCTACTCTCTCTCTCTCTCTCCATCGTTGCGCCACCTCTCTCTCTGCCACTGTATCTCTCTCCTCCACCATCATCTCTCTCTCTCCTCTGAATTTCCCGATGACGATGCCAGATCTACTTTTTCTCTCTCCAACGTTGTCGCCTCTGTCGCGATCTCTTTTCTCTCTCTTCATCGCCATCGAGGTCTCCTTTCTCTCTCTCCATTGTCGCCGCCGCCCCCTCTCTTCCACCGTCGTCGTCGTTCTCTCCCCATGACTGCTTTCTCTCTCTCCCATGGCCGACGCTGGCAACGCAGAAAAGGAAGGCTGGAGAAAAAAAAAACAAATAAAATTAAATGATTTTTTTATAATTCCAGAATTGCCTCTCCCACTATTTAATTATCCCTTACCTAAATTTCACTATTAGATCAATCCATCTAGATCCAAGGGCTAGCAGGGATTTAGTCAACTGACTAAGCACCCCCTTAAGCACCAGATCCTCCCTTAGTGATGACTACTCGGAGGATTATGGTACTAAGAGGATTTGGAAGAGTCAGATATAGCAAACCTTAGATGAAAAAGCATTATAATGAATGGTAATGGTTGGTACCAATTTTTTTTCAAATATGTCCAAAATATATATCATTGTGATCAAATGAATCCGTTGCAAAAATATTTAAATTTTGGGTTATAAAAAATAAAAGAAAACACGAGCCAATTTAAAAAGTAAAAAACATTTTAATCTCCCTTTAGATATCATATCATATGACCCTACCGAACACCAAGAGGTCGTTTGCATGAGTCATTTGTAAAACGAGTCATTTGTCAAATGTAGGCATTTGAGAAATGTAGACATTTGGGGGTCGTTTGCATAAGTCATTTGTAAAACGAGTCATTTACTAAAATATAGGCATTTGAGAAATGTAGACATTTAGAAATATAGATATTACAAGTGCATTGTTTGTTTAAAATTTTTTATATGAGTCATTTTTAAATGAGGTATTCGTATAAAGTTATCATTTTGCCCTTACATTTAATATGTTTCATTTTATTATTTCCTCTTCTAATAAACCAACAAGGTAAACAAAATTATTTTGAAATCAACAAAACAAACTCATGTATAATGCTACTTTCTAATTTTAAATAATAATTCTATGTTAACTTTCTTTATAAAAGATAATGCCTACATAACTCTCGAATTTTAAACTAATTACAAATGATGTTGTTTGTAACAAAAAAGATGGGCCCCTACGTAGATGACCCTCTTCATTGCTTGTGTAATTTGGGAGAAAGAGAAAAAAATAATTTCGAGAGAAGACAAAGAAATGACATAGAAAACGAACAATAGAAAGAAAAGGGTAGAAGTGGGTTTACATAAAATAGGTAAATACATAGTTGCAATATTTGGACTAAATAATGAATCATTTGGGACTTTAGTATGGACAAAATGACTCATGCATTTTTTCTTTAGCAAATGAGTCATTTGATATCAAATGACCCAATTAAATCATTTGATACCAAATGATTTGTACAAATGACTCAAGCAAACGACCCCTCAAGAGTCCAAATTTACTTTTGTACTCAAACAAACCACCAAAAAGTCCAAATTAGTTAACTATGTTGGGTCTTCATGTCTCGAGGCCATTTCGGGCCATGCTTTACTGGGAGTAGGGATGGCAATGGGTCGGGTTGGGGCGGGTTTTGTCAAACCCAAACCCAAATCCATGGTTTATCCGCCAAAAAAACCCGAGGTAAAACCCATTGGGTTTGAAAAACTCAAACTCAACCCAACCCGCTGGGTATCCGCGGGTTCATAGGTACCCGTGGGTTTTGTGGTAAAAAATTTACAATAACAAATTTCTTTCAAAATAAAAGTTTAACATCAATTTTCTCATACAAATTATTCATACAAAAAACACCAATCTAGAACATACAAGCAAACCGCAAATGATCAATACTAATTGTTCAAAATTAAAGATAAACATCTATAAACAACAAGATTAATTGAAATCTTCTTCCTCGTCAAATAAGTTTCTTCACTCTCCACTCCATAATATCAATTTCATTCTAAACAATTAGAAAGAACAAAGGGTTAATATTTTCGTATGGCCTGAACTTTGACCAAAGTAAACATCCTGGCCAATCTTTTCGATCTATAACATTCTGGCCCGAACTATACACCAAAGTAAACAATTTGGCCAAATCAGACTTTTGACCGTTAACTTCGACGGTCAAACGCGTTGACCGTTAGTCAACGCGCCATGTCACCGCCAACTCAGCAATAAAAAAAAAAAATAATTTCCACCTAGCCCATTTAATTTCCACCTAGGTCTTTTCTCAATTTGAAGACGAAAAAAAAAAAAAAAACCAAAACGATGCGAATTGCCCCTAATTGCCTTAAAGCAAATCCAGTCCTGTCTTCAATTCTCAGTCCGCCCTAACGCTCCACTCCCCGCCGCGCTCTCTTTCTCTCTCTCAATCTCTCTTCTCGTCGGCGCAGTCGTCTCCGCCCCCGTATCAATCTCTCTCTATCTCTCTCCAGCTATGAACTCCGATGAGCCTCGTGTTGCTCATCCCGCTCCCGATTCCGAACCCCTAAAAAAACCATCCGGATCGGCCCACAACCCGGCACCGGCAAATCTCCCGACCACCCAAACCCCCGAGAAGCAACCCGCCTCGCTCTCTCGCCGCACCCGAACCCTCGACGCCGGTAACCTCCATCGCCGCTCTACATACACTGCCGCGGGAGACTCCAACACCAAATCCGCCAGAAGACACCTCTCCTCGTCTTGGGATGAAGATACGGACGCTGCCGAGATATCAACTCCGATCCCCCAAATGTAAAAAAACCCTAGCTTCTCCTTTTTGCTTGAAATTAGGGTTTTTCCCCCGTTAATTAGGATTTTGCCAATCAATTTCTTTTTGATTTCCCAGTAGGCAAGAGGCTCTCCTAGAATGTTTCACCAGCTTGGTCACTTCAATCCGGTTGTTGGGCTTGAAGGGCGCGCACCCTTCTTTCACCATCCAGTTCTCCGCCTGCGCTGCATTTTTCAGTCGGTGAGGTGAGGAGATTCGACGATGAAGGAAGGAGAAGGTGAGGTGAGGTGAGGTGAGGTCGGCGGGTGATTTCTGTGGATGGGGATGGGAGCGATATGGATAAGGTAGGGTTAGGGCAATTCGCATCGTTTTGGTTTTTTTTTTTCGTCTTCAAATTGAGAAAAGACCTAGGTGGAAATTAAATGGGCTAGGTAGAAATTATTATTTTTTTATTGCTGAGTTGGCGGTGACATGGCGCGTTGACTAACGGTCAACGCGTTTGACCGTCGAAGTTAACGGTCAAAAGTCTGATTTGGCCAAATTGTTTACTTTGGTGTATAGTTCGGGCCAGAATGTTATAGATCGAAAAGATTGGCCAGGATGTTTACTTTGGTCAAAGTTCAGGCCATACGAAAATATTAACCCAAGAACAAATTATACATGTCTCCACAATCATAAATAATATTAGTTGTTTAAAGAAGATATATTATTTAGAATATTAAATATACCGGGAAAGTAATTATACATGTGGGCGGGTATCCATGTGGCGGGTTTACCTAAATCCAAATCCAACCCAACCCGGTGAATAGTGTAGCGGGTTTAAACCCGAATCCGACCCAAAACCCGTCAACACGAATTTATCCACGTTGACCGGGTTGGGTCGGGTGGGTACCCCTGGGTTCGGGTTTTGTTGCCACCCCTAATCGGGAGGCGGGAGGCCATGAGCCAATGACCCACAAGGCCACAACAATGTATACATCTTAAGCTATTTATTTATTTATTTATTTTGGGTGGAATGCTTGAGCTTTTCCGTTCAAATATAATTTGTTTCGACTTTCGAGTGCCCTGTAAACCCTAAACGAAGGAAGCAGTGAACCCGGTGATAAGTTCCCCGTCGGCGACCATGGTAACCTCATTCGGTGTCACCGACTCTCTCTCTCTGTTCTAGCATCTGCTTTCACGGAAGCTAATTCCCTCTTCTTCGTCTTTGATCGTAGACTTTCAAGCGCAGAAATGGAGGACGTAACAAGCACGGCCGTGGCCATGTCAACTTCGTCCGCTGCTCCAATTGCGGCAAGTGTTGTCCTAAGGTAAACCCGTACGCCGCCGATCTGATAATTCTGGATGTCTCCCGTCAGTTTGTTTCTGAATCCAATTTTCTTTTGGTCGGCTGCAGGACAAGGCGATTAAGAGGTTTTTGGTGAGAAACATTGTAGAGCAAGCTGCGGTGAGGGACATTCAAGAGGCTTGTGTTTTTGACGGTACTGCATTATTTCTCCCTGCCCTCCACGACTGTTCTTTTGTTCCTCGCTTGCTTGTTAGGGTTCTGATTGATCCCTCTTCGTGTATTCTGGAAATGTGAAGGCTATGTTCTCCCTAAGCTGTACGTGAAGATGCAATACTGTGTTTCCTGTGCAATCCACTCCAGGGTTGTCAGGGTTCGATCCCGCGAGGATCGAAGGAAGCGCGAGCCCCCTCAGCGGTTCACCAGGCGCAAGGTCTGGTGGTTCTCTCCCTTCCCAAATGCTATTCACTATACCCTAGTTTGCGCTCAAGTATATGTTTTCTATTCCATTCTCGGTTAGCTCTAGCGATTTGAATTCGGGAGATAACTAGTGGTAGTCGGTTCTATTCCTTTTATACGTGTTAGTTTCAAACCTCTAGAGCAAATCCTGATGCCCTTAGTTAATTCTTGCACTTCTTTGAGTCTGAGCGGTGGATTACAAGGATGTATATTCATAAAAAGGGTTTCAATGGGTACTGCTTTCCTGCTTGCATGATTTAACCTATCTAGTTCTCACTGGAGTTCACTGCCGGGCCAATGTGATGTAAAAAGGAAACCGCTTTAAGAAAGCTTGGGGTTCTCTCAGCACTAATGTTAACATATGTTTGTGTTGATTTTATCTCCTACTGCTCTGAAAATGAAACTTGCATGTGGTTAGTCTTTTTTTGCTAGAAAGCTTGTGGTTAGTCTGTTTCAATATGAAGCATGCTCCCTTCCCTATAATTTGCATCCATGTTCTGTAAAAACAGTATTGACCTTCGGATTTTGCTTGCTGCAGGAGGATCAGCAAAGGCCTGGAGGCCCTGGTCAGGCTCCTCGTACTGGAGCACCGGTTGCTGCTCGCACGTGAGAAGAAAAGGGTTCTGTTCTCTTCCGTTGGCCCTCAGTGCAGATGTAGAGAGCTTTCAGTGCTTCATCATAGTTTAGGCAGTCCTTTGTTTTCCCTCTTATGACTCATGACAGCCAGTTGGATCGGTCTTCGAGTCCCTGCACGTTTTGATGGTCATATATCCCTCATAAGATAGTTATATGTTTGTTGAACTGGTTCGTAATCAGTTCTGCTGTGTTTTGTTGTTAGAAATCTCGTTGTGACTGCATATTTTGTTGAGGCGGCATTCTAGTTGAGACTGCTATTCTGCCGTGACCAATATTTGCAAGCAATGAAAGAAGAAAGAGCAGGGACGGAACAATATATATAGTCCGAGTCCGAGCCGGAAAAGGAATTCCTAGTCCTAGCTGCCAACGGATCCGAGTGTAGAAAAGAAAACGCCGACCCCCTCCCTATAAAAAGGAAGTTTCACATCAGAGTTCTCTCCCACATCAAATTAGAAAGTAAGCCATCCTTCTGTGTCCTAGCTCCTTTACGTTTTCATTCTCCGGCACTGCAGTCTGCAAGCTCTTCTGTCGCCACCATTGATACTCCTCCAAACAAACAGTTAAGTAGATAATGTCGACGGCGGCGGAATCAACAAGGGCAGAAACAGTAGGTCATGAGTCGCGTAGAGATACCACCACCACCAGCAACGGCGTTAACAACCAAGACAACTACGAGATATTCGTTTCTCTCCTCCCAGCCGGCGGGCGTCCCAAACCTCTCTCCAGTGACTCCACCTCCTCCCAAATACAGTTCAACACCCAGGTTGATCGCATCTACACCACGACGTCAGCGAAATCGTCCTCCTCGTCGACATTGCCCAGGCAGATAGTGGTGGAATCTCGCCGGTCCAAGTTCGGAATCCCTGCCGACGACTCGTTTGGTACCGAGTCTCTGTCCAAGAAGATGGTTTCGAGGTTGAACATCCCCTTCCCGTTGGAGAACAACATCTACTGGAGATCATTACCGTCCTCATGGATCAAAGTGGAGGGCAGCGCAGAGTTGAACTCCCGCATCGTTAAAACCGTGGGTCGCATCATGGCCGGAATGAAACGTGGTCATGAAGGGAAGAATGTAGAGGTGAAGCTGGTGTTGAATATTGCAAAGAAGATCAGAGTTGGAGAGGCAGAGTACCAACAGATATGCAGGGCCCAACAAGAGGGCCATGCCATGGATGACCTGGAGAAGTTTCTAATCAAATGCCAGGATCATCACGCTGCTTCTACGACTTCACGAGGAGGAGGAGGATTTGAGAGAATGTCAGTGGATGAACTCAAGAGCGTGGCCGAGGAGCACGTGATGAGAGTTAACAGTGGCGCGCTGATTTCTGCGTCGGATCGAGGCTCGATCATCGATGCAGTGGCTCGGAGAGCTTCCAGCGAGTGGGGTCGAGCACTGGTTTCCAAGCTCAGCAACGCTCTGGTGAAAGTGGAGACGTCGCCAACTCCAAGTAGTGGTGGGGAGTGCAGCATCTGCTTAGCTCCCAAAGCGAGTTCAGTGGTGCGGTTGCCTTGTTGTGTGCACACTTTCCACAGGGACTGCCTTCTTCAATGGCTGATTCACCACACACCCAACTGCCCTCTGTGCCGCTCCTCTCCTTTGCCATCTTTCTACCGCCCTTAAAGACTTGTTTGTGTTACTGATTGAAATGTAATAATGTAGGACTGCTACTGAGTTGTTAAATGGTATATGCTGGATGACGTTCATAGTAAAAAATGTGAGTTTATGTAGAAGTGTTTAAGTAACCTAAAACACGATTTTGACTCTATTAGTTAGAAAAAAACACAATTATATAATTTTTTTTTTTGGTAAAACATAAAAGCATAAGTTTTAAATTTTAAAACGTGATTCCAACTAATCTTAAAGCGTACAGTGATCTCAATTAACAGTACAAAAGCGTACAGTGTATCATACTTACCGCCTGCTTTACTTGGTTAACTTAACACAATTGTATCATACTTACCGCCTGCTTTACTTGGTTAACTTAACACAATTGCCTAACTGCTCCACTTGGTTTAACTTGTTAACACAAATTAAGAAGTAAAAACGTAACATTTTGCGTGTACATCCAAAGAAGATCCAATAAAGTAAAATAGGTCGACAAGAGGAAAAAGGTAAACATAGTTAAAAACTTACTATAACATGTTGACTTTGAATTTAATTTTAGTCCATGCACATTTTGCTCTCAAATCTTCTTTTGACTATATATGGGTCCTGGAAGGGTTGCATAACTAGATATGAACACTTAATTTTAAGCGAAACAAGATCTAAAGGATGAGAAATAGTAGATTTTTATTTTTTATACTTTTTTATTTGGCTTTGTTCTTCTTCGTTCTAATTTGGATTTAAAAGAAATTTACACGGATGAAACGAGTTCGTTGTAATATACAAAATAATATTCATTTTCAAACATTTCGATGAATGAGTTCGTCGTGATCTATTAGATCTACACATTTATGAAAAATAGATTTCCAAGACAAAAAGTACCAACCAGTACATGTTGGTAACTGGTTGTATACGTTGATGAAAAATGGTAAATAATGGTTCAGATAATTCTACTATCATGTATTCAACAATTCTACACTCTGATCTGTTCATGCCACCATGGTACACTTCCATACCACGTTATAAAATCTTATGTACATACCAAATAATACCACATGAAACAGGATTATGCATGGTTATGCCCATAAGTCATTTAACCATCCCCTATATATGGGGCCTAATATGTAGCAACATAGTTCTTTTTTCTTCTTCTAGAAATAGGGCGTAAAGACGCCCTAACCTTTATCCATTAACCAAACGAGGGACCTAAATCCCAAGAAGATCATAATACAACCAGTATCTCAGAGTTGCGCAAGGCTCATCCACAAAATGCAAAACCAACCGGTAAAGAGTGGCCAATTGAGGCCAAAAAATCTGCTACCACATTACCCTCCCGAAAGGTATGAATAATTTGGACCTCCCAATCCAGTGCCAAGAGTCTTCTCGCCTCCATCCCAATCCACTTGTGGTGGCTTCCGACAAACCATTTCCACTTTACGAGCTCCACCTCCTCCCATAATCGAGGTAGCCTTCCCAATTGCCACAACGACCTGATGACATAATAATTGGACTCTTTGTACAAGATGTGGGGTAGAGCTTACCCTCAAAAGTGAACTCATTTCTATTCTTACACAAAGCCCAACAAAACGTTCCAAAGAGTGCTTGTGTAATAATCTAACTTCACCCTCCAAGATAATAGTTCACCCACCTATGCAGGTCCGACTCAAAGAAAGAAATGTCTGACTCATCCTGCAGGACATCAGCCCAAGCTGTCCTTGAATAAGGGCAATCCCTGATGACATGCATGGTAGTTCCCGGGCCATTACCACAAACTTTGCAGGTATCAGTTTGCGCTAAGTGTCAACGCTTTCTTTCCGCATTTGTAAGAAATTTCCTGTGTGCTACCAGCTAGCAGAAAGTCTTTACTCGCTGCGGAACGGGGGAGCGCCAAATTGCCCGTCAAATAGGGTGGGCAACCTGTAAGTTTTCCTCTATTCTCTTCAACTCATAAGCTCTTCCTAGCTAGCAGCGACCTGAAGGAGTAAACCTCCACAACGTCACGTCAGCAGCCGCTTCGCTTGGAATAGGATGCAATTGAATCCGCCCAACGATGTCTTGTGGGAGAAAAGCTTGTAGGTAGCTGGTATTCCATTCCCCATTCAACACTAGTTCGAAAACTTTCAGCCCTTGAGCCTCCGAAGGAAGATTAACAGTTTACTCCACCAAAGTTGGCTTGTCATGTAGCCACCGATCAGACCAAAACATTGTTTGCTAACCACTTAGGATATTCCACATTAGCACATCAGGGATATGATGGATAACCCGTATGACACTCGTCTACAAGTTGGACATTCGTCCTGTCGTTCTCGGTATCCACGCGATCTCCGTGCGCATCAAATACTTAGCTATGATGACCCGCGCCAAGAGGCTTTTTCAGTTTAGTAAGTAATCGCCAACAGATTTTTATCATAAACGCTTCGTTCATGTGAGCTCAATCCTAGTCCACCCTATTCTTTCGGCGTACAAATGGTTTCTCAATCAACAAGATGGACTTTTCTTCCTACCACCGAGCTTCCCAGATGAAAGCTCTTATCTTCTTGCCTATATATTCTCGCACCGAAGCCGGGAGAAAAGATTTCTGCATAGTATATGACGGTAAGGCTCACAAAACGGACTGAGTCAAGGTGATCCGAGCGGCCAGAGACATATAGTTCACTTCCCATCCTGCAAGCCGCGAGTCTAGTTTATTAATCAGCGTAAGAAAAGTTTCTTTGGAGACTCTATCGTGAATCACTCGAACAACGAGATAACGTCCTAGATTCTTAGTTTTAGGAATGCCCAGAGTCTCACTTAAGATTGCTCCTTCCCGCTATGTCACATTGGTAGAAAAGAAAATCCTCGACTTAGGTTTGCTAACCTGTTGTCCTGAAGCTGCACCGAAGGTATTAATGATTATCTATGCTTGATCTCGCGGTGCTTCACCAAACAATATCAAGTCATCTGCAAAAAATAAGTGTGACATGAAGGTCCCTGATTAGACAACTTGATCGTTTTCCAAACGTCTGAGTCTACCGCTGCTTCTATCAAATGACCCAATCTTTCCATACAGCGCGTAAAAATATAGGGTGATAACAAACATCCCTGGAAAAGTCCTCTAGATGGTGTAAATGATTCAGACAGCCCTCCATTCCACTGCACTTGCACGTGGCTGATGAGATGCACTTCATTGTAAGCTCGACAAACGGCTTTGGAGCTCTGACTGCTTGCAGAGTATCATAGGCAAAGCTCCACTTGATTCGATCATACACCTTTGCAGAATCAATCTTCAAAACCATCCAAACCTTTTCTCCCATCTTTACCCGCATGGAATGAACCACTTCTGCAAAATACAAATATTGTTAGTAATACGGCGGTCTAGAACGAAACTCGTCTGAGTTTCCTTCACCAACTACGACATTAGGATCTTGAGTTGTTCTGCGAGGCACTTCTTGATCATCTTATACGTTACATTGTACATGCTTAAGGGGCGGAATTTCTCGATCAACATCGGCTTCTGTACCTTTGGTATCAGAACCACAATCATCTCGTTCACCTCACTCACTCGCCATGGGTTCTCCCAACAAGCTTGGATGAAATTCACTAAATCTTCTCCCACCAGATCCCAGCATTTCTAAAAGAACATAGGATTTAATCCGCCTTTATCGGGCGCCTTGAAAGGTCCTGTGGCCTTACGGCATTATGAACTTCATCTCCCCATATAGGCTTTGCTGCCGACAGGCAAGCATGTGCAGGAGCTCTGGAAACCTTGCCGGAACAGCCTAAATTGGCGCACCATCGTCTGTTTATAATGCCATGAAAAACGCCCGGGCCATCTCCTGCAAAAGGGTCGTGACTTTTGGCACCACAATAATTCCTCATGTAATATAATGGTTTCAAGGTCTTCCCTTGCTTGCTTTAAAGGCCCATAACCACTGTCCCGTCCATACCGCGACTACATTTCTCAATTTTTGCTATTAGCTTCTTTTTCTTGCGCTGAATATGACCAAGATTCTACTCATTCCATTGACATGCCTTTGTCGCAAATTCCTTGATAGCACCCAGGAGGTCAGCTTCACACCTCCATGCTGCCTCCGCCATTGCTTCAAACCTCTCGTGAGTAAGCCATGCTGCAAGGAATTTGAAAGGTTTTTGACCGCCAGCCTGTAAGTGTGGTTTAGATTGATCAGAAGCGGCCGATAATATGATTTGACTCTTGGTAGATGTTAGACTATGGTATTCGAGAAAGTGATAGATCACAGATGGTTAGATAATCCACGATCTAGTCGTTCTTTCACTCCCGCCCAGAACCAAGTGAAAGTTGGTCCCGTAAATCTCAAGTTCGTTAATCCTGTATCCATCAAGCAGTTCTACAAGTCATGCACTCTGCTAGAATCAAATGGTGCATCTCCCATCTTCTCCGAAAGGAGAAGGATGGAATTGAAGTCCCGAGCTAGAAGCTAAGGTAACGTTATATTCTCCGCCAACTGTCCCAGGTCGTGCCATAATTTTCGTCTTTGTATAAGTGTCGGATTACCATAAACTGCAGTAAAAATCAAGCTAGATCTAGAGTCCTCTGTCTGAACCTGAGCATGGAGAAACTGAGTAGATCGGGAGAACTCAGTGATTGTAGTCCCCCGAGAAACCCATAGAAGCCAGATGCCTCCTGAAAATCTCATCGCATCTACAACAAGTTTTTATTTATTTTTTTATCAAAACCCATCTTCTGAATAACTTCAGTCGCAATATCCCCACTTATCCTTGGCTTCGTGATCACTATAATGGTGGGATAATACTTGCGTTGATATTCTTTAAACACTCGCAGGAAGCATTTTCTCCCCGATCCCCTACAATTCCACACAAAGATTTTACAATCTATTAAGGCCATGGAGTTGTAGGTAGGGCCACGCCTAAGCTTCCTCTCGTAGGAGGTCACCTGAACGAGCGGCCTTCTGAGTAGTGTCCACAACCAAAGCTTCAGTATTATCCGATGACGACTCCATCATGTGCAAGTACTTCCTCTGAGTTGTCGATGACAATTTCTTGACTCTTCTCTGTTTGAACCATGGGAGTTTCACTCCTGGTATAGTTTTGGCTCCCTGAATTCTTTATTTTCATTTGGAGGGCGGTGTTTGAATAAGGCCTCCTCCAGAATCTTCCTTGTTTCCCCCTCGTTGCTTATATTATGTTTGTTGCATAGCTCTTGGGGAGGCCTATTAGATCCTCTGTCAACTTCCGAACCCGCACTCTCTCCATCTTGAGGGGGATTAGCGGGCTTAAGTTGAGAGACTCATTTTGCTTTACCACAATTCGACTGGCTCACGTCCACCTTACTCTTATTGGTGGGTAGTACTTCATCTTTTTGTTTGCCTTGCTTTGCTACTCAAGTCCCTTTCGCGACTTCAACCCTACATGCATTGGAGCTCCCTCTTCTTTCCTGGTTAACCGTCCAAGTTTAAGCGTGGCTCACCCGTGAACTATTACGAGCTTGTGCCTTCCTTGGGTCGTTCATTTCCTCTTCTAGTACCACAAACTAAGAGCTCGAGGCTACAACCCTTCCCTTCTCGGTCCCTACATTGATCCGCCTATTGTTGTCTTGGCCCTCTCCTTTATTAGCTCTTCTTACAAGGCGCTTTGCCACCATCCACTCGCCATATAGTTCTGTATATTTTGGTTCGACGCATTTGGGAGTGTACTCTGAGGTAGCTTCCTCTGGCTGATGGAGAATGGGCAGTTCGCCTTGGCATGACCATATTGTCCGCTCTCGAAACAGATGTTGGCTAACCCTTCATATTCGATCTCATAATCCAGCCCTCTATCTTGAACTTGGACGATAATGGCTTTGTTAGATCAAATTCAATATAGACGCGATCATAGCTCCCCCTTACCCCTAACTTTGTAACCTAGTCCACTCAGACTGGAGTTCTGCCCTTTGAGCAATGCGCATCACTGTAGTGGGATGAAAAATTCGATAGGGAGGTCTGGGAGTCTCATCCACACAAGTGTCGAGGGAATGGTCTCAGAGTGGGATTAAACCCCTTCCTCATGCGTTGCATCGTGATATAATGATCCCCTATCATCCATGGACCGCCAAGAAAATCATGATCATAATCAATCTTTGTCGTAAAGAGGGCAAAGTAAAACCCATGAGACTTATCTATGATATGTATAATTCCATTCCTTGCTCAAAGCATATTCAAAAGTTTGGATAAAATAGGGAAAGGAAACGAACGACCCAACACTTTGACAATGATTGCCAAGTGCCACTCTTGACCAATATCACGAAGCTCAACTGTTGTGAAGGGAATTGTGGGGCTTCGGGGATCCTCATCTTCCTCAACAAACTCCTCAGCATCATCCTTCCTCATGGCTGTAGCTACGTCTTTAGAGTCCGAATCCTCTACATACCCCACTGTTTCTTGATTCTATTTGCCTCTCCATACAATAGGTTTCTGGGGTGATTGCACATGTATTCCGGCCTGGGGTACATTATTCTAAATATCATCCCTATTTTGCATGTCTTGGTCAACATCAATACTCTCAGTCTCATCAGTTATGTCTGTAACAATCACCTCCTCAGTATCGACCTCCTCACCAGACATGTTAATCGACCTAACCCTTTTCTTTAGGTGCTGCTCCTCACGTTCTTTTTTGTTGTTCGAGGATGACGAGGCAACAAGAGGCCTCCTAACGCCAGCTAGGACGGAGGTCCGGCGAGACCGCCTTCCCTCCGTCTGGAGGTGGCGTCGATGGGTCAACCACCGACATCCCACACCATTACTCAAAGCACTGATAATCTAATCGCCGATCTCCGATCTCCGCAAAAGTTGTAATTTTCTATAGCAACATAGTTCTGTCATAGGATTCATGAATATATAAGTTATTTAAACTATTACGAGAGATCCTTTTCTTTGATTACCTAAAATGTGCAGGACCATATAATAATTTCCCCAAATAGGAACTAGTTTCTTTCTTCACAATTCAGACTTGAGGTAAATTAATCAAATTCCCTCATTATAACTAACTCAATATATCTCTTGAGTTTGGGCTAAACACCAACTATGAGATATATGACTAGTGAGTTTTGAGAAATAGAGAAGCATGCATGGTAAAAAGGTGACTGTAATAAAAGTCTTGCCACCATTCCCAACTAGCCTTTATGTCGTGCCTCTAGATCTCCTTCTTTATTATCTCTTTACCACCCCTAGCTAGATTTGTTTAAGTTTCTAACTTAAAGGTTATAGGACTATCTAGTATTGAAATTGATAAATGGTTTATGATGGATCATGGAGCTCTTCCAAAGAATGAATCTTGTCTATAGTCATGACTGATAATGTGGTCTTCAATTAATACTAAACATTATGGTAATGAATTTTGAGTTAATTGGCATTTTTAACACACTTATTATCTGGTAAAGACCAAATTGATTGTGAAATGACACTAGTTTTGTGCCCGCTCTGTACATTTATGTGTGTTTTGTTGCGTGTATGTTAGGTACGTACATTTTGGTGTTTACCTTTAATGTGTGATGATTCAAATTTTGAAGTGTCATAACCATTATAGTGTATTTTTTTTGTAGTTGTAATATCTAACCTTTTATTTTTTATTAATAAAGTAGTTGCAATAGTTAACATTAATGTGTTTAACAAGACTTACAATGTATTGTACTTCAGAAATTCCTCAGTTTAGTTCATCTATGACATTGAACATTGGAAGTCCATCTACTGGGAAATTCGTGGACTATTGAATCTGAGTACCTCTTAATAGCACTAAACCTGCCTAGTATTATTGTAAATGCTAGTACTCTTACTCGTTTACAGCCTAGGACCTCTGAATAGTTGAAGTTGACTTGTGTGGTCTCACTTTGGATAAGGTATGATGCTATATTCTATAGGCAAATACTTTTGAAATGGATATCCTTCGACGAGTGTTGCCTTGACAGATAGATGCACGATACCTTGAAGTGTCTTGTTATTGTCCAATTGTGTTTTAGTAAAAGCCTAAAGCAAATCTTCAAGATATATATGTCCTCCAGTGGCATATGTTGTGACCTGCTCATCATTGAAATGACATTGTAAATTATATACAATTGATTTTATAGGGTTGAAAGTAATGAGTGTGAAAGTATTATGTAGTTGTATTTGTACATGTTTTTCTTGGGATCGCCTCTCGTGGTCAAGTAGTTCAATGGTGACAATTTCAAGCATATTAGGTACATGATCTTCCTTCTCAACTTCTTCTTGGTTGTGGTTGGCCCTATTATTTTTAGGGTGAATTTTGGTATGTTTGGTTTTCAAGTGAGTAGTTTTTAGATTTGAGCACCACTAGTAGAATAAGTGGTGTGGTACGGAAACTACCTTTATGGTAGATGACGAATGTTAGACCAGTCGAGGTTGAAGTAAACAATCATTGCATTTGTTGTTGTCAATTCGATAAGATGCATACATGTCTTCAATATATTGTGTTAGTTTTGCTGTGCAGTTGGGAAGATGACATGGTAATGCTCTTAGTTAATGTTGTTTGTATACGTGCTTACTATCATCCTCATTTTCCAGGATGGAAACTGTTGTGAAGATGAATATCCTCATAGGTGTTGGATTTGTTGGAAGACTTCCTTGGAAATCTTCTATTGTATGTCCATAGAACTACTTTCAAGCACCTTATCTCTCATCATTTAACCTGTAGAAAAATTTGTAAGTCTACGAATCACCAACATTCGATTCGATTTGAACTTTTGATCAACGCTGAATGCTATTGCTCCATCATAAAGCTTGTTTATATACTTGAACAAAATACTTGAAGGATATAAATGAAACACAAAGGTTATTTTATGAAATAGTGCAACATCGTGAATATATTTACGAATGCCATTTAACTAACAACTAGTATTATATCTTTTCAAATTCTAGAATCCTAATATTTTCACACAATAATAATTACTTCAATTATTATTTACAAAAGGCTTTATATGTGACCTTTTATTGGTATCCCTTCCATTCAACTTCCTATGTACAGTATTATTGCTTAAGAAAGTAATAAAACATTTAAACATACTTAGATGCTAAAAGTTCATCAAACATACTACTAAAATTTAATTTATATCTTAAAAATGGTTAATAACACTTTATACCCCTTTGACACGAGCGAGAGATTGAAGCGCAAGCAGTAGAGGAAATGCAGCTCGACAGCTCCTCCTTCCGTCCTTCCTCCTCCTCGCCGCCGCTGCTCCGCCTCTGTTACGCCGGGCAGGTCGCCTTCGAGAGCAGCGGAGGCGACCCACCTCTCTTCATGCCTTCCTTCCAGTAGATGATCGTTGGGTTCTGACTGTTGTCCAAGACCCAGGCCTCTTGGGTGTGTTGAATTTTCAATTTGATTCGTCAGGGTATGGTTTGTGGGAGTTTTGTTTATTTTTGTTATATGTCCACCTTCTTCTCTGCAAACAGACTTATTCCCATTCTCGGCAGCGTGGGCTACTATTGAGGCTAGTACTATCGAGACCGCTAGAATGAGGCGACTTGGTGGCGCAATTGACTGCGGGATGTGTTGGTTGACCGGTTAACACCCAAAACCCAACATGGGACAGCAACCAAAACCGACCCAGCCATCAAAATTCCGATTTCATGGCTAACCGAGCCAACAACCGAAAACCGCTCGATCGGCTGTTGGTGGATTTTGGTTGTGTTTCAGCTAACCAATAACCGAGAATTTGATTTTTGGTTAAACCGAAATTAACCATGATCCAGCCCAAAACGCAAGTACTATTGCGTTTGTGCCATGGCTGCTAGAAAGTATTAAGAATTAGTGAATCAGTAACAACAAGAGCACCAGTGGTCTAGTGGTAGAATAGTACCCTGCCACGGTACAGACCCGGGTTCGATTCCCGGCTGGTGCAATCTGATCGAGTTATGATGAATCCTGCGCCCTCTGTGAGGGAGGTCCTCTCACCACCGTCCGATTTGCGGACGAAATGCGAGCGCATCTGAACTCGATTCTTTTTGTTTTTTTGACCTCCCCGTCTTTTTCTTCGTTTTGATTGGTTTCATCTGCCCAACACTTCCTCCCGTTTTCCCCGGTAGCTGCCAGTTCGTCCGGTAATCGACCACTTTTCCACTCAACAACTACTCTTTCCATCCCTGCAGAGTCCCGGTGTCTTGTTCAGTTTCCTCCTCAATCATCCCAGAGACAAACCTTTTTCTCCCAAAAAATGGGGACTTGCTGCTTAAGGAGCCATCAGCTACTGATTCAGTCTCACCATAACTTCATCGGGTCCTCTTCCGGTTACCCTTTTCCTCCTTCTACTCATCGTCATCGTCGCCAAAGTTCCCGGCTCCTTCCCCAGGCGGTTCTCCCCCGCCGTACAACAACCATCACCACTAGAATTTGTTGCCAGTATGATGACACCGGCCGGAAACCAGCTCAGCAATCCTCTTCTTCAACTGGAATTCAACTTTATGGTGAGATTGAGAGGTAGGGAGGGTCATGATTTATTCTCTGGAACAATCAATATTTTGGTACGAAATCGTCGATGATTTCTCCTTGCTTTTGCGTTTCTATTTGTACAACAGGATACTTACAGAGTCTGTGAGGCAGTCCCAGGGTGGTTGGGGCTCTTTGACTGACTGGTTTGAAATTGAGGTTTCTTTTCTTTCTATCTCTCTTCACTTATATTTATTGAGTTGGATTCATACTGATACCCCAGAATTGAAAACAATTTCTCGTTAGGCTAGCTGAAAATCTGCCAACTTTACCCTCCAAAGTGTTTATACCATGGATAAGAAAATTTGAATATGAGATTGTATATCGTCAAAGGCAAAGCTTCCATTTACAAGTCTGTCATACCTACCAATCGCTCTCAGTAATGGGGGTTGTTGTAACTGAATCATATGCATGTCTGTCTGTCTCTTACAATCTTCATTATGCAGGATAATAATGGTATTCTGAAGCGGGTTTCTTTTCCATCATGTTGCTTGTCTGATCAATTTCACCTTAAGCTCATGCACGTTATGTCATTTCTGCTGGTTGTATGCACATGCCCTATTAGCTATTACAACGCATGGCGAGCATATAGCAGAGTCTAAGTTCTTGTTTACCATTTGGTATGTTTGGAACTTGGCTGAACAACTACTTGAGCTGTTTCATCTGGCTATTTGGCCATTGAGTTGCATGTCGAAATTGGGTTTTTCTTAATGGTGGATTCTCAGGGGGCATGGGTTCTCAAGCCAAAAAATGGAAGAGCTAACTCTGTTGTCCATTTCATTGGTGGCATATTTGTTGGAGCAGCACCACAACTAGCCTACCGATTGTTTCTCGAGCACCTTGCAGAAAAGTAAGTTGAAATCTCTTATATTTTTGGTAATGAAATGTAGTAACACATGCTGACAAATACCCAGAGCATCAACTCACCGCTGCAAGTTTCACTTAATCTGTTCCAGCTATTTTTTTTACTAATGATAACTAAAAGGATGCTGATAGTTACCTTGTTTTTTCTGGCTGATCTAGGGGTGTAATGGTGATCGCTACACCTTATGCCAGTGGGTTTGACTATTTCCACATTGCAGATGAAGCTCAATTTAAATTTGATAGGGCTTTGCGCTTCTTACAAGAACCTGTAAGTTTCACTTACTTTTGTCTACTAAAGGATGATTTCCGCTTATCTTTCTTCTTATTTTATTCAATGTCTATAAATTTGAATATAAACTGAATAGTGGCTGAGGTCTTCATACAGGTGCAAAATCTTCCTACCTTTGGTATGGGCCACTCTTTGGGGTCTGTCATTCACCTACTGATTGGTATGCTAGTTCATCCTTGTACTTCCTTTCGAGGTTGTGTTGCTTACAGTTGTTCGACAAGAACTGAACTTGCTGTTTTAGGATCACGTTATGCTGTGCAAAGAAGTGGAAATATATTGATGGCGTTCAACAACAAGGTAGGTCCTTTCTTGATAATGTCAGTAGAGTGACAGTCCTCAGTCATCATAGGAATTAGGATAGCCTCCTCTCTATTTGATGGTCCTGTAAACCTTTCTGATGCTTCCTTCATCTTTATTTCTTCATTAGAAATGAAGTATAAAAATATGCTGGAGACCAATCTTTTCTGAATTAATTCTCTCTTTTTTCTTTTTGTTCCTCAGGAAGCAAGCCTAGCTATCCCGCTTTTCTCACCTGTTCTTGTACCAATGGCTCAAAGCATTGGCCCAATTCTATCACAGATAGCCTCATCACCGACAGTCCGCATGGGGGTGAGATCCTGAAACTGTAGTTTATGAAGCTCATTAATGGTCTTTCAGATCATGCTTTCTTGCATCTTACTCTATGAGGATTCTAAGAGCTGAATCCAAGCACACTGGCCTTGATGAAACTGACATGCAATTTATGCTCATGGAATGCCTTTCTCTCTGTATTTCATATTATGATCATGGCATCACCTTCTTCATAATTTTGCCCCTCACAAGCTTCCAAATTCCAATAGTGTTGGCATATGCGAGCAATTCTTTCTCAAATGGAGAGCTCTGTATGTGAGCTCTGTCAACTGATGGAGTATTTTGTTAATGGCAACAGTTCGAAGTAACATGTTTCTAGTTGATCATCTTCACTTGACTTTCCTCTTTAATCGTCCCCATATTTCAGTTTCCTTTATGTCTCACCCTCATGTATACTAATCTGTAGAAGGTTGTTGCAGGCTGAAATAACATTGAAGCAGATAGAGAACCTCACCCCTCCTTTCATGAAACAAGCTTTCCCTTTAATTGAGCAACTTCCTCCTTTATACATGGACCTGGTTAATGGACGAGAAGACTTCAGTCCAAAACCTGAAGAAACTCGCCGCCTTGTATGTCAATTGTCCCCTCCCCTATCTAGTGTTTTTTTTTGTTTTGGTTTCCACCTCTTGGTGCAAATTGCTGACGTTGGTATGGGGTTGCCCAATTCCAGATAAGGTCATATTATGGAGTCTCTAGAAATCTTCTGATAAAGTTCAAGGATGATTCCATCGACGAGACCTCATCGTTAGCCAAAGTCCTAAGTTCAGAATCAGCTATTAGCTCATTACTAGACATGTCAATTCGCTCACTACCAGGAGATCATGGTCTTCCTCTGCAACAGGTACCATATTTTTTTTAACAAGCCAAATAATCTGCAGCGCTTTTTTACTAGTGAAAGTACCAAAAGCTTGTTTCTTACGATCCAAATTGTCCACCTACACTACGCAGGGGTTACCAGATGTGCCGCCTGCAATGGCAGATGCAGTGAACAGAGGAAGCGAGCTGTTCACAAATCTGGCAGTTGGAACGCCATGGGAGACCGTGGCCAAAGAAGTAGGTAATACATTAGGGTCAGACAACCAGATCCTGCGTGCGCAGGCCTCCAAGGACTTGGCCAAGCTTGTGGATGTGATCACCTCCTGGATGGCTTCGAATGCAGGTCCAAAGGCTTTAAGGCCATGACGAAAGTAAGCTACCTCTGCAGCACGCCATTGTTGAAAGAGAAATCAAAAGTGGGGGGAAGTCACGGAAGATATGATCTCACCAGTCTAATCTTTCTAGATTGTAAAGGAGACATTCTTGTGTACAGAAAAGAAAAGGGAATGTTACACAGAATCAGAAGATGTAATGGGTTGCCGTGCCACAAAAGACAAATGTTTGTGGAAATGTTTATTAGTATGCAGTCCATGGATTGAAAACCCGTACAGGTGACCTGCCTTGTAAGATTTCGGTTATTATGGAGAAATTTGAACTGGTTAGAGGAACATGGTTCAACCAGTATACTGTGGTGTATCGACTGGTTTGGGCTGTAGTATGGCACTTCGGTATCATTTACATGAAACCTACTGGTTGGTCAAGGAAGATAGCATCTATTGCTTTCTGTTAGCTCCTGCCTTCCTATTTCCTCTCATTAATCATGATCAACTTTGTCAGCAGTTGTATTGTATGTATCTGTTAGCTGTATAAAAGTCGCACACAATCAATAATAAAACTACTGCAGAATTCCCACGGAACTTCAGTCCTTACATCTATCATGTCTCAAACTCTTATCCTCTAGAGCACAAGATTGGTTGTCTTTGTCGTGGACCTTCATGTGCCATGAAAATAACGTACAATTACGTAAACATCAAAATTATAATAAAACAGACCGTCCAGATTGCTCGAAATGTTATAATGTCTGGTTGGTCCTAAATAAATCCTAATTTAATTTGGAGAAGCACAACAAACCCACCAACGAGGAATCATTACTTTTGGAAAAACTTCAACTAAGAGTTTTCAAATTACTAATATGTTGGCCGAAATAATCAGATTTAACAGATATTGGACAAAAATCGATTGGAAACCTGCCATGAAGCGATAGTCAAAATCGGTAAAAAAAAAAGGTTAAAATCGAGAAAAGAGTGATACAATCAGAACGGTCAATTTTTCTGTCTCTAACCAAAATGAAGTCATTTTGGTAGAATTAACTAACAAAAGGAAATAAATTTGTCGGATTCAAGTATGATCATTTAGATTTGATGCTATCTACTAGATTCAAGTATAAATGAATGAAGGTGGACGTTAAATGTTGAATTTGAATATAATGATTAGTCATTTTGTTTGTAATATAGTATTTTTTATTTAAATATGGATGGAAATTATATGTAGATTGTATTAACAAAGATTATATAGATGCACATTTTATTTGATGTTAATGGTTTCCCACTTTCTCATATGTTTAGTTAAAACCGACATATAAACCAATTATACTCCGGTAAGATCATTGCACTAGCTAAACCCGTGTAACTTCCTCCAACCTTCCTCCAACCAGTCTTATATCAATGAGCGAAGCCGGTGGAATTTGATCTAAAGTCTAAACACAATAAATACATAAATAGTTGAAAAGGTCCATTTATTTAATTCTGTATAGCAATGCACACATATAATCTATTGGTATGCCTATGGTGACAGTGACATGCATGTCATTGTAACTTGCCTTGTAGGTCGACCTTATATAGGATTAGGTCGTCCTAATCTGCACTTTTAGGTCGACCTTATATAGGATTAGGTCGACCTAATATGCACTTTTAGGTCAACCTTATATAGGATTAGGTCGACCTAGTATGTCGTTTCAGTTTTTTGAGGTTCAACGAAGCGGTTGACCTTTTACAGCAAATGGTCGACCTCTTGGGAAGCGCATGAATGACATGTACGACTACATGGGCCAGATTTCCACCCAGATGACTGGCATGTACCACTACATTGGGCAAATGACCGCCCAGATGAGCACACTACAGGTGACCGTGAATGAGATGCGAGATGAGTTTCAATCTTTCAGTGGAAGATACGTGCATGTCACCGTAACTTCCGACTACCATAATGCTAGCAACACCAATGAAGAAAATGTGGATGAGTGAGAGAGGGGACATGAGTAGGAACTCGACGATTTTAAATTGTGTGTTTTTATTGTTAAGTGTTAAAGACGATTGTGGATTGATATTATGTGGTTTTAGATTTTAGTTATGGGTGAACAATTATGATTTGTGTTTTATTGTATTTCTTGTTAGTTTGTTTAGTTGTTATGTTATGAAGTTATGAGTCCTTGTTATCATTATTTATAAATGATTCTGTTGGTTTGAAACGTAATTTGTACGAGCAAAAGAACCACCCACGTCGCTTCCCAAAGAGGTCGACCATTTGCTATAAAAGGTCAACCGCGTCGTTGAACCTCACAAAACTGAAACGGCATATTAGGTTGACCTAATCCTATATAAGGTCGATCTAAAAGTACAAATTAGGTCGACATAATTCTATATAGGGTCGATCTAAAAGTGCAAGTTACGTTGACATGCATGTCACCATAGCAAAGCCCATAATCTAATTCAACTAGCACGTAGGCAGTCCAAAGAATCCATTTTTATTTATCATTACAAATAAAAACAAAACTGAGATTACCATGTAACTCGTCAACCTAATTTAAAACTAGATTAGCATATCTGTATGTTTAAAATTGCATTACATCGAATAGCAAAAGGGCCAAAACAAAGAGTAATATTTCCTACATATATAAAAAAGAAATAGAGGAAGAAGAAGAGTCATATATGGTGGCCAATGGATAGTGGCCTGGTGGTGGGTGAGGCTGTCCCTGTTTCCCAACCTTGTGTCGTCATCAACCTTTTTTTATATAGAATTTTTGGGAGGAGTTACGGTGTTAATTGTATAAGAATTAGCACTGTCCTGGCCAAGGAGTAATGGAGGGCTTCATTGGTATTTAGTAAAATTAAATATAATAAATAAATTAGATTTTAATTATCTCTTTCCTCTTTCGCAAAAAACTTTAACGTGAAAAAATATTAGGGAAAAAACTACTACTAGTTTGAATTAGTAGTGATTTAGCTTAGATGTTATATTGATTTTATAATAATTCGTAGGGATTTTATTGTTTTTGTAGCGTTTTTTAAATAGAAGAAGTTGATGATATTTGAAAAGAATAATACTATAAATGAAAAAAGTACTACAAAGAACAAATATTTACTACTAATATACAAAACACTACTAATACTTTACAAATATCACTGCTCAACTATTGATTAGAATAACAATAACTACTAATACATATGAAAAACAATACACCACCCACATTCACTACTAACCCAAAATTACTACTAACCACTACTAATACCAATCACAAGCACTACTGAAAAAACACTACTAATTCTACCAAAAAAAAAAAAAACACTACTAATACAAATAATAGTGTTATCTCAAAACCCAGTGGCTTGTATGCACCTCTATTTTTCCTGGTCGCCCTCAACTCTGCAAACCCTAGAGGATCTGAATCGCCACTCTTCCCAATGAACGATTCCACCGCCACCATCGTCGGTCCTGTCTCCACCGTCTCCAAACTTTCGATAGCGAACTTCGAAGACGACATACACATCTCGGTAGCGGGGACTTGATGCATGCTCTGGAGGAATCGCTAGATGGACGAAATCATTGACGGCAGGACTCGCGTGACGAACCCGAATTTCGCTCTGAGTATCTCTAATCTCCACAACACTTTACCTACCAAGCCGAAGTATGGATAGTGGCGCTTGAGCGGAATCGCCCGACGACCGGCATCTTTGATGAGAATATTGTCGCTGGACAGATCTGATAGAGAAAGAAAGGCAGAGAGGCAGTTTATGAGGATAGAGTGAGAGAGAATGGGGAGGGTAAGAGGGGGAGTGGGAGCGGCCGTGAGGGTGTAGAGAAGTGGGTAGAGATCTTTTCATATTAGGGTTTAAAGTTATATTACTATAATATCTTTTAATTAGTTTTGACCGTCAGATAATTATGTTAATCTAATGAATGTAAGTGTAGTTAGTACGGTGCTAACCTTTAGAGGGTTAGCAACGCATCCCATCCCAAATTTTTGTTTTGAGAAACATCAGCCTCTTTAAAAACTCGACGCTCTATACACTTCATTTGAATGCTTACTTGCTTAGAGGAGCATCCCAAATCGAATAAGTAAAACGTTTGGATTATTAAAATTGTAAAAAAGAAAACAATAGGATAAGAGATTCAATGCACCAATTATGAAGTATCGTGTTGATGCGAGTTGCCATTGTGGCTTGTGTCATTTAATTTGTCCAATTTCAGGGATATAAATGATTCTTTTCATTGAAATTGACACCACTAGGGCATTAGCTCACACTATTCCATACTTTCAAATAACGAATTTCAATTTTAAAATAATGGTCTGATTGAAGTGATGAATACTTAGTTGTCTGAGTTGGACGATGAGCATGAGGTCTGAAATTTTGAAGGCGCTGCTCTATAAACACCCAAAAAATATCTTGGAAATTTAACATAATATTAGTGAAATATTAATTAATAAATAAAAATCATAAAAATATTTTAAAATAACATTTATTGAAAAAACAATTCACGTAAATCATGATAATGATTTGAATAGAAAGATGAAATAAAAAATTACTTGACATATTGAATTTAAATTTTTTTTAATTCAAATAGAAAATAAATTGACAATTAATCAATTAACTGGACTCACCTGAAAAGAAGATTTAATTGAGTCGAAGTAGAAACTAATTTAAGAAGAATTGAAGAGTATAAAAGATAATAGAGAAAAAAATATTAAATAGGTGAAGTTGATAATTTTTAGTCTAAAATTAAGTATGGTACGGACTATTTAGTAATTGATTTACTTATTTTTATTTTCTACTGTCATTGGCTTGTGCTTGTTGTTCTTAAAATTTAACAATAAACCAATGTAGATTATTTAATTACTTAAGCATTGATGCCTTGTTGGGTACAAGTAGATTAATTGACGAAATTGAATTTATTTTTCGGTTGAGAAGCTGAAGCAATAAATTTAATAATGCTAATAACACGGAGTGATCATCAATCTCACATCTCTTTTTTTTTTTTTTTTTTTTTTTTTTGTCAAAGTTAGCGGTAACATTCAGTCATAAATAGAAGAAAGAAGAGCGCGGGAGTCGACTAATCGTCGAGCTCCCGATGAAAGGGCTTTTTGTGCCACAAGATGGGCGGCCCTAATAAGTCGACGAGAGACAAAACAAAACGAAACGAAGCTGAATTGGGACGCCAACGCCCTTGCATCTTCGAGTACCGCCCCACTCCGATCGTGTGCCAAATTACTCCTCACCATCCGTTGAATCAATTGTTGTGAGTCCCCATGAAATTTGACAGCAACAAAACCATGTGATAAGCACCATTGGAAAGCATCTCTAAGAGCCTTAGCATCAAGTGATGAATCACCAACATGGAGAATTCAATAGTCCAAGAAGTCTCCCTGCAAACCAACATAAGAAAACGAAACTAGGACCATGCAATAAACCATTTAAAGGATACAACGCTCCATCCGTAGCCATAGGGAACCTGCAAAATAAGAAAATAAAAAACAAGCCAGGGGATCTTGTGACAGCCATTTGGGCATCCTCACAGTCGAGAAGTCGAACTGAAGGAGAGCCCAGGCGAGCGGCACACTCAACGAGCATGATGTTGAAAGCCGTTATCGGGCCGCACCCACGAAGCATAATATGCAATCTACTAATAGAGAGGAAATCTAACCGTTCTATTTTTTTCTTTCATGAAAAGTGCCAAAAGAATAATTGAAAAACAAATAAATTATGGAGGAAAATTATAAAGAAAACTAAAGAAATAATAAAAAATTAAAAATACCAAGAGAGGGATACTTATCGGAACCGTCGCGTAACCGTCACACTGCGTCGGCCGTCGGGATTGCAACCGCCGTCTGGAAAAACCGTCGCTCTGCCTCTCCCGGTTACGAACCCCACGGTGCAGCCCGAATCCCAACCTGCAATCACCACACCGGACTTCCGCAACTTCATCTCCCGCCGCTCCTCCTCCGTCAGCCAGTGCTTCTCCCAGCGCGGCATCTTCTCGGTCTGGGGCACCATTACCAAACTCCTTCGATTTCGAGGAATCCCTTCTCTGGCTGGCCTTAACATACTCCTTCCCCAGCAACGTCGAAACCGTCCCGGTAACTGCCACCACTTTCTTCTGCTTGTTATTCCCTCGAAACCCCTTTCCCCCACTGATCAAATGCCCTTCCATGGACCCTTCCGAAGAGCCAGAACTCGAAGCAGAACTGCAGGAACTGCCGGATCCAGACCCGGTGTCGAATCCCGAAACCCCGCTCGACACGTCGGTATTATCGGTCATCGTGGTCAAAATCTCGGCAGCCCTGTTAACGTCACCGTTGGCCTCCTTGTACGCGGCGGCCGCGTCGTCGATCGAGGCCGAGTCAAACGCCTCCATCAGCGCGCCCAGGATCTTCCGTTCTTCCTCCTGGGGGCTCGGCCGTACGCCCGTGGCCGTTCCCGCCGCAGGTTTTCTCTGGGATTTTTTCCTTGTGAAGAAACATCTCACATCTCTTGTTCTCTCTAGAGATTAAATGAAAAATATTGACTTTGTATATGGTTTCGGAAAAAATCTAATAAGAAAGTAAGTTTTCCTCCTCATGTCGTCCACTCTTCCCTTTAGTTTTTGATTTTATTTTGATTTTTGATTTTTTATATTAACAATAAAAACCCAATCAATTCATTTTCTATTGTTTTGAATTTAGGGCTAATACCACTACAACACCCGAACTATCCGGAAAATGCCACTTGTGTCCTATTGTTTCCAATATTCCATTCATATCCTGAACTATGATACTTTGTGTCATTTGTATCCTGTCAATTTCGTTGACCGTTAAAGATAACGGTTGACTAAACGGTGGTCAACGCGAAGTTGACTTTTGTTGACGTGGCAAAAAATGTGGTTGCCACATAGATGCCACGTCACTGATCTCATATTTTTTTAATTCAAATTAAATAAAAAATTGAGTTATATTTAAAAAACTGTAAATTCAATTATATTATTAAGCCAAAATTTCAAAACAAAATAATTAAAAATCCCATAATTCTTCTTCCCTACCGATTCACTCTCTCTTTCTCTAAAAAAAACTCAAAGACGATTCCGATTTCCAACCAATGAAGCCGCTGCATCATCTCCTTCCTCCCCCAATCCGACCCTGCAATGAAGACGATACCGATTTCCATTTTCCAAGCAATGAAGCCGCCGCATCATCTCCTTCTTCTCCCCTACGCGGTCCTGGGCTCTGGTTTTCTGTCTAGCTCAATACCCCATCTCCGCCGTCCGTACTCCTCCCTGATGGACGCAACTTCCGATTTGCACTTCTGGGCTTCGATTCTCTCAGCATCGACATCGGTGAAGGGTGCAAATAGAATCCCTTTATGCAATCGCCAATCGCACAATCTTTCTGCCAAAAGAAGCTACGACGGATCCGAAGAAAAATAAAACAGATCTAGTTTCATAGTTGATGTCACCGCTTCACCTCGTCACCATCATCTCTCTGTATCCTCTTTTGGGAGTCTCTGCTACCGTTGCGCGGATGGAATCCCACGCCAAAATCGACGAGAGCGGAGAACAGGTTCGTTCAAGCGAGCCCAAAAATCAATGGGCGGATGGAATCCCACCCCAAAATCAACTGATGTTGGTGCATTTGTCGAATTCAAGAAAACTCTTCCTAGATCGATGGCGATGACCATCCTCCTCAAATCCCTATGAACTCCCACCGGCCACCGACGACCCTCGCCCTTCTCTCCTCCGATTCAACAAAGGTTCTGACTTCCCAGAAGCCAGAGTAGCAGCCTCCACCTCCAATCGATGGCGCCGCCTCCAGATCCTCGAAACCCCTTCAGCTTGCTACGTTCGTGTCGGCTGTGTTGGGGAAGAAAGGAAGGAGCGATGGTGCCGCCGAGCTACTGGCTCGTCGGAGGGGAGAAGATTGTGGCATTTTTTAGTTGTTGGGGAGAAGATTGCGGGGATTCGGGAGAAGATTGCAGCAGGAAGTCATGGAGGGGGATTCGGGGAGATTAGGTAGGATTTTTATTTTATTTTATATTTTAATTATTTCCTTTTTCTTATTTTATTAATATTAGATGGAAAAAAATTAATATTAAAAATTCCACGTCAGATGCCACATCAGTGCTGACTAGATTTTCTGTTAAAAACTAACGGTCAACAAAAGTCAACACTAACAGAATCATAGTTGAGGACACAGATGGAATATTGGAAACAATAGGACACAAGTGGCATTTTCGCAATAGTTCGGGTGTTGTAGTGGTATTAGCCCTTGAATTTACAACTAAACTCAATACTCCATAATAGTAATTAGCCTTAGTACATGATGGAGCCTCAAGGAAGCATTTAATATCCCAAGAACTCTTTTATTTCATGGTTGGTTAAAGTAGATAGGATACAAACCCTGGACAAGATACGAAAGAGGAAGTTTGGGGTTGACCTGACTGGTCCTATATGCTCATCTCTTTTATAAAACAAAACCAAGTGAATAAAAGTATTAGGATAAATTAATCGACTCATTAAAAGGAAGAAACACAACATCAATATTAATTACCATATTTCCATATTAATTATTTTTTTTATGAATATCCACAACGAAATCGTACTAAACTGTAGTGGATAATGATAACCACTACCTCACTTCTGTATAAATTGTATATAGCATAATTTTAAATTTACCGCAAAATGTGGGATGGGTAATCACGCCTACACCAATTTCTACCCCTATACTTCTATCGGAGTGGTATCTTGCTATCTTAGGGGTCGTTTGGATGTAGAAATGTTTTGTGGAAATTGGACTAAATTTCCATAAATTTCCATAAGTTGT